ATAATGATGATGATGATGATGATGATGATGATGATGATGATGATGATGATGATTATGATGATGATGATGATGATGATGACAATGCTGATGATGATGATGATGATGGTGGTGGTGGTGATGATGATGATGGTGATTGTGATGGTGATGGTGATGGTGATGGTGTTGATGATGACGATGATGATGATGCTGCTGCTGATGATGATGATGATTGTGCTGCTGATGATGATGATGATGATGATGATGATGATGATGATGATGATGATGATGATGACGATGCTGATGATGATGATGATGATGATGATGATGATGATGATGATGATGATGATGATGATGATGATGATGATGATAATGATTGCACGCGCTCAGGGCAGAGCGCACAGGCGTACTGAAGGACTGACCCCCCCATCCCCCGCTCCGCCCACGGCCCGGCCCGAGGCACCCCACCCAGGCCCGGCCCGAGACACGGAGGGGCGGGGGCAGTTTTCCGCGCGGCTGTGCGCTGGGCTGGCCGCCTGTTCCTGGGCGGCACCGTCGCTCGCCTGGGGGCGCCACATCGAAGCAGCGCGAGGATTTCTCGGATCGGCGCTGGATGCAATCCGATCCTCTGGGATTTTTTGCGTCTCAGTGATAGGGAGAGCCGACATCGAAGGCTCAAGAAGCAACGCCGCTATGAATGCTAGGCTGCCGCACGCCAGTTATCCCTGTGGTAAGTAACCTTTCTGACGCCTATAGCTAGCTGAGTTTGCAGCTTCTTATCCCCATAGCGCAAGCAACCGCAGTCGTCTGCAGCTTCTCGGCCCGAACTTTCCCCTTTGCTCCGACCCCTACTGCCCCTCGCGCCCGCGCGCTCGGGGTGCCAAGGTGCCTGCGCGTGCCTTCGGCGTGCAGGTCGTCGGCTAGTCTAGGAAACAAGTCATTGAGGATCCCCCCGCGTCCCTGCCGCACTCAGCGTCGATGCTGGCGGACGCCACCCGTGGTATTGGCTGGTCGGTCGGATGATGGAGGCGAGCCCTGGCTTGTCCCTCCGAGTGGGCATCGCTGGCCCCCCTTCGGGGGCGTCGGCGCGGGTGGCTGCCTGGGGCAAGAGGTCGCCTGCTCAGCATCCACAGACAACCACGCCGCAGTCTCATTCTCGACACCTCGACGCGTTCGTCGGGTCCGCACGGGGCGTGCAGGGCGGCGGGGTCGTCGGACCGCCGACGGCAGTCGCCCTGCCGCAGACACCCCACTGGTGCAGCTGGCACGCCTGCGGAGGCCCTCTCCCGTGCGGCCTCGGGGGCCGCTCCTGGGGCCCCCGCCCTGGGGAGCCGCCGCTGGCGCTCCGACGGGAGCGTGCGCGAGGAGGCGACAGCCCTGCCGCGCTCTGGGGGCGCACTGCCCGCCCCGTCGCCTCGTGTGGTTGGAGCCGCGGGCTCCGGGCGCGGGCCCCCGCCAGAGCCTGCGGCTTCGGCCGAGGCTGTGGTTGCCCCGCCGGCAGGCGTGCGACCTGCGAGCGATGCGGTTATGGCCTCGCGGGGAGGGGTTTGTGCCGTCGGCAGGGGGACCGCGGAGGGGGGTGCACGCGCCGCCCAAGCCCGCGGTTGCCAAAGCGGAGCCCCCGTCGAGGCTCCCTGGCTCCGAGCGGTCGGCGGCCCTGCCGAGGGCCGAGAGACGGTTCCGCACGACCCCCTGGCAGCCCCCGCCGACCAAGCCCGCGTCGGGCGGGGCGAGCGGGGAGCCGGAGGAGCTCGGCCGCCGCCAGGGAGGTCTCATCCCCTGGCCGCTGCCCGCCGCAGCCGGACCGAGCGAGGTCGCGAGGAAAGGCATGCGACCGTGCAGCGGCGCGGGGCCCCGCGCGTGCCGCCCTGGCGACTCTCGGATGCCTCCGTGTGGCCTCCTCTGCCGCTTCTGGCCATCCTGACCTCCTCCCTCCTCCTCCTCCTCCTCCTCCTCCTCCTCCTCCTCCTCCTCTCCTCCTCCTCCCCTCCTCCCTCCCTCCCTCCCTCCTCCTCCCTCCCTCCCTCCTCCCTCCCTCCCTCCCTCCCTCCCTCCCTCCCCCCCTCCCTCCCTCCCTCCCCTCCCCTCTCCTCCTCCTCCTCCTCCTCCTCCCTTTCCTCCTCCTCCTCCTCCTCCTCCTCCTCCTCCTCCCGTCCTCCTCCTCCTCCTCCTCCTCCTCCTCCCCTCCTCCTCCTCTCTCTCTTCTTCCTCTTCTTCCTCTTCTTCCTCTTCTTCCTCTTCTCCTCCTCCTCCTCCTCCTCTCCTCTCTCCTCCTCTCTCTCTTCTTCTCTCTTCCTCCTTCCTCCTCCTCCTCCTCCTCCTCCTCCTCCGCGGGCGTCGAGGCGTGCCCCCCGCCGCCTCCGCCCGTCCCTGAGGCTCCTCGCCACTTTGGCGTCACCCTTTTCCGTGGTGCGTCTCGTGCCCGAGCTGCGTGCAGCGGACCCCGGCGCCCTTCCCTCGTTGCTGACCTCGCCTCCTTGCTTTAAGTCGGGCACGTCCCTCTACAGGAGGAATGTCAAAAAATAGTCGAAAGTAGCCTGGGGACGATTTTTCGACTAGCTTCGGATTATTTTTGAATTTTGTTGACTATTTTGTTCCTTCCCAGATCCGCTTGTAGGAGGGCGTGCCCGACCAAATCCGTGCTGCCCGGGCGCCGGCATCGACATAACCCACGGGGCTGCTGCTCTTGCTCAGGTTGGGATGGGTCAGGGGTCGACCTGAACGGTGTTTTGGCGGTTCCGTGGGCCGTTTTCGTTCCGATTTCGTTGTGCAGCAGAGGCGTGCGTTTTCGTGCCGATTTCGTGCTGGAGCGGGGCGTTTGAGCACTGCGTAAGAGTTGCGATCATCGATTTGGCATTCTGGGCATGTGATGTGGCTGCACTGGCAGGTCAGGACTGCGGCCCCGCCACAGACCACAGACGCGCAGACGGCGCAGATGCCTTTAGCGTAAGACCTGAGCTGGTATAGCTGATGCCCGTGATGTGCACAGCGGCCCCAGTGGGGGTCGTCAGGGCTCTGGCGCAGGGTCTTCTGCAGGTCGTCCACAGGCATGCCGTTGCGCTCCAGGGATATCTTCTGCAGGTCGGTGTGGGTCCACGCCGGCGCGGCGGCTGTGGCAGCACGCTGTCCAGCGCGTCTGCGGGCATGCTTGAGAGGGAGCCTTCTCGTCGCCCTCCTGCTGCTTGCTGCGCAGCTCCTCGGCATCAGGATGGCTGTTGCCGCACTCCTTGGCGAGGCTGGGCCCGCCAAGACCAGTCAGGGCGTCCAAGCACTCGATGTCCTCCCCCTCGCCCTCCTGCTTGCCCTCCTCCTTGTCCTCCACAGCCTGGTCTGCGGGCTGGCGGGTGCGCGGGCCGGCCAGCTGTTCTGGCGGGTGACAGTGGCATTCTTCCTCGGTGATGAGTCTGACCAACATCGGGGCGTCCCTCAGCGATTTGTTGCTCATCACGGCCTTCGGGCAGCCGCGCTGGAGGCAGGTGACAAGGATGTGCCGCTCATGCTGTTGGCCTGGCCCGAGAGGGAGAATCTGGCCATCATGGCGGCCGTGTCCGCCCGGCCCTCGGGGAAGCTGTCGACGCGGGTGGTCCGGTCGGCCGCGATCTGCAGCTCGGGATCTCGCGGCGGATTCGGCCGTGGCGACGGGGGGAGGGGTCCTCGGCCCGAAGGGCTAGGTGGGGGGGCCGCCAAGGGGAGCCCGGACTTGGCCGCGGGCGCCGAGTTCTGCATGGCCCGGTCCGCTCCCAGGCGCCGCCCGTTCGCCCTGTGCTGCGGGGGCGGGCTCGGGCGCAGGCTCCTCTGCCTCCTCCTCCTCCTCCTCCTCCTTCCCCTCCTCCTCCTTCCCCTCCTCCTCCTCCTCTTTCTCCTCCTCTCCTCCTCCTCCTCCTCCTCTTCTCCTCCTCCTCCTCCTCCTCCTCCTCCTCCTCCTCCTCCTCCTCCCCCTCCTCCTCTTCCTCCTCCTCCTCCTCCTCCTCCGAAATACACGGCTTCCTTATTCTGATTGCACATCGCACGACGGGGTCCTTGCGGGGCGGTTCCAGGTCCCCTAATCATGACGCTCCTTTGCGTATATAGAGGAACGACAGCACAGTGGGAAGGGATGGGTGGGAGGGGTAGAATGTTAGATCTGGCGTGAGTGCACCTAGCGCGTCTCTCTCCTTTCGACCTTCTCCCTCCTCGCTGCTCCCTGCTCCCTCCTCCCCCCCGCCCCCGGCACAGAGGCCTTCAACGACGAGAAGGGCTGGGGCCACATAGCATGCGAGGCCGGTCCTGGTCTGGCCCGCTGCCGGGCGGAGGGGTCTCGTCGTTTCCCCCTCGCCCCCCCGCCCCGCGTGGCTGGCGGGCTGCTCGTGTGGCGAGAGGTCCTCGACATCCTCTCGTCAGACCTTCAAACACGAGTCAGGATGAGACGCGTGTCCCAGGGAAGGGGCCTAGATGTCCAGGTGCCCAGGTCGTGGAAGCATCAGAGCCTCGGATGTCTGGGGGTAGCCGAAGGCGAAGGTGGAAGGGGGGCGGAGGGCTTTTGATTCGGCTGCGGGCATGTGCGTGAGCGTGGCTCAATGGAGGAGGGGGGTGGACGGAGGGAGGGAGGGAGGGAGGAGGAGGAGGTCAGTAGGGGAGGAGGAGGGCTGGGAGGACGATGATGATGATGATGATGATGATGATGATGATGATGATGATGATGATGATGATGATGATGATGCTGCTGATGATGACGATGATGACGACAATGACGATGCTGATGATAACGATGACGATGCTGATGATGACGATGACGATGACGATGATGATGATGATGATGATGATGATGCTCCTGCTGCTGCTGCTGCTGATGATGATGATGATGATGATGGTGCTGGTGGTGGTGATGATGATGATGATGATGATGATGTGGATCATGATGATGCTGATGCTGATGATGCTGATGATCATGATGATGGTGGTGGTGATGATGAGGTTGTTGATGATGATGCTGATGCTGATGGTGATGGTTGATGCTGATGCTGATGCTGATGCTGATGCTGATGCTGCTGATGCTGATGCTGATGCTGATGCTGTTGATGACGATGATGTTGTTGTTTGTTGTTTGTTTGTTTGTTTGTTTGTTTGTTTGTTTGTTTGTTTGTTTGTTTGTTTGTTTGTTTGTTTGTTTGTTTGTTCGTTCGTTTGTTTGTTTGTTTGTTTGTTTGTTTATTTGTTGGTTGTTGTAGTTATTAGCATTATTATTATTATCATTATTCGTGTTATTATCATTATTATTACTATTATTATTATTATTGTTGTTGTTGTTGTTGTTGTTGTTGTTGTTGTTGTTGTTGTTGTTGTTGTAATTGTTGATAATGATGATGATCACGCTTGATGCTCGATATTCGATGCTGATGCTGATGCTAATGCTGACGATGATGCTGCTGATGATGATGATGATGATGATGATGATGGTGGTGGTGGTGGTGATGGTGGTGGTGAGGAGGAGGATGAGGAGGAGGTGGAGGAGGAGGAGGAGGAGGAGGAGGAGGAAGGGAGGAGGAGACGGAGGAGGCGGAGAAGTGGGGAGGGGAGGCTCCAGGGGGGTACCTCGGTTCGTGGGCGGCGCATCGGGGCCCCTGGGGTGCACTGAGATCCGCCTAGACGCCGCTTGCGGCGCCGCGGGCCAGGGCGTCGGTGCTCTGTCGGGCCTGGGGCGGCACCCCTGGACCAGCTGGGGTGGTCCCCAAAAGTTCGGGGGTGGACAGACCTCCTACCCTGACACGTCGATTAGTGAATTGTCCGTTTTCGGTTCTCGAGAGGGCGCCGCGGCCGTCATTTTCCAGGCTTGCGCCCGCCAGGTTTGGGCCCGAGTTCGTTTTCACTAAACCACGTTTTACTAAAGGGAGGTCTGTCCATCCCCGAAAAGTGGCCAGGTCTACCTGGCAGGAGTTTGGCCATCCGGGGGTACCCTCGGAACGCTCCGTGGCTACTTGGAGCCGCCTGGGGGTCAGTATCGTGGCCTTTTGGTGGCGTGCTGGAGGTCATCTTGAGCTTTCTGGGGCTACCTTGTGCCGTCCCGGAGGCCATCTCGATATATCTGGGGCCATCTTACAGGAAACTGCGTTCGGCTGTCTTGGCAGCGCTCGCGCGGGGTGCCTGGTCCAGACACACGGCGAGCGAACAACTCTACGCGACACGCGGCCAAGGAACCAGCGTGCCGTTGCCTCCAAGACAGCCCGCAAACACCCGCAGAACAACCTAAGACGACCAGACATGACCAGGCAAGACCAGCCATGAATACAAAACCAAACGGGCCGAGACACGACGAGACAAGACAGCGCCCGGGTTGGCCCAATGTGTGGTCCCACGACAAGCGCAGAGGGCCAACGGGAGTCCGAAGCCCGTGCATTTTTTGAGGGGAATTCAGTGATTTTTGCCTTCCATTTTTTCCCCACCGAAGGCCTCTTGAAGATTCAACGCGAGATCAGGCGGGTCCAGGAGAGCCTCCAGACGGGCCCACAGCGGCCTTCGGCGGCCCTGGAGGCCCCCAGAGAGGGCCCGAAGAGGGGGCCCCAGGAGGGCCCCAAGTGGGTCCCAGGCCGCTCCAAAGCTGGAAAAGGCAACAAGCACGTGATGATTTCTCGCACTTCTTCCCAGAGAAATTACGCCGCCCACCGCCCCCTCCTCCAGCGTCCGACCGGCGCCCGCGAGGCCACCCGAGCGATCTACGGAAAGGACTTGCGGCCGCGCTGCGTCTGGTGTCCCTGGAGCTGGGAGCGGGTGCCTGATTGCTATACCTGCTGGCGGCGGGCTTGTCGATGGTCCGTGCAACGCAGGGTAGCTATCAGCGCAGGCCTGCCGGAGCTGCAGAGTGCCAGGTGGTGTCGGTGTCGTTGGGCATGGTGATCTTCGTGCTCCTGGTTCTGCTCTGATACTTGCCACTGTGAACCAGAGCTTTTCCCAACACACCCCCTTCAACTGAGCCTTTTGGCTTCCCCTGGGCCGGAACTGAAAGGCAGGCCGTGCCCCTGCGACACGTCGGCTGCTGTGCTGGCGCGGCGGCCAAGCTGGCGTCCGCCTTGGCTGCCGCCGCGGATGAGGAAGCTAAGCGGTGCCGGTACCGCTGCTTCCCGGGCACCTCCCGGGGTGCGTTCTGGCCAGAATGTCGAGGCGAATCCAACGGTGGTAAAACAGGGCTAGGATCGGGATAAATCGCTCCAGAGCGTTCCGGAGCGCTCTCAGAGCGTTCCGGAACGCTCTGGAGCGGCCGCGGCGCCCCCCAATACATCCTCCAACCCCGCCGTTTGTCAGAGATTTCGAGTTATCCCGATCCGATTTTGTCCCGATCTTCGCGTCGTTTTAGGTGGCGACGAGTTCCCCCCAGGACGCCCAAAAAGGGGGAAAAGGGGGCAGGGCAGCGGTACGGGTACCTTTTCCCTCCTCTGGCGACCCTCAGTGCCCCGCGCCCCGCGTGCCGACGGGTCTCTGGTGGGCACCTGCGCGGGGGGCGTCGCTGCCGGGGCTTGACTGGCAGTGCCAGCCCTGCAGACCTCCCTTCGTGTCTGGAGCACGGCCCAGCGGCACTGTCCGGGGGGGGGGGGGCATGGGCTCGGGGGGCAGCGCACCGACCCCCAGTCACTCACCGATCGCTGCGAGGGGCCCGGCATCCCACCCCGCCCAGGATCGGGCGGCTTCGCTGCCGGGGGCGCGTCGGCCAGCCCATTTTCGGCGCTGTGCCGCCGATTCCGAGTCGATGTCCCCCCCCCCCGAGCCTCACCGCCCACCAATCCTCCCCGGCCCAACCCGAAGGCCCCGTGTTGCCCTCCATTTCCAGTGGGGTGGGGGTGGGGCACTTTGAAAAACGCATATGGAGCCCGTACCCCCCCCAACCCGAAATTCGGGCGGAATTCGGGTCTTCGGGTTTGGTTGGGTGGTTCGGCAGGTCGGAAAGAGCGTGTTCTACCGCTGCTGGCGGAGAACCAGGGGGGGTCACTGGGGGTTCCCAACCCGTCCCCCCCGCCCCCCCCTCTCGAAACCCCGGAGGGGTCATTACGGGTTCGAACCCCTCCCCTCGAAGTCTGTACAGATCCACTGCTCACTGGCCAGGGAGGAGGAGAAGGAGGAGGAGGAGGAGGAGGAGGAGGAAAAGGAGGTGGAGGAGGACTTGGAGGAGGAAAAATGATAAGCATAGTGCTAATAATAATGATCATACTATTAACCATCTTAATAGTAAGAAGAACCGTACTGCTAATTCTAACAGTAGTAATAACACGAATGCTCGTAATGAAAAGAATAGTAATGCTAACACTAATATTATTAATGACATGGAGAAACGGTCATAATAGTATTGATATTAATAACGATAATAATAACGACGATAATAGCAATGATAATGATAATACTTTGAATGGTACTTATAGTAAGACGATTAATAAGACTACTAATAACAATAACGACAATAAGCATATTACTAATAGTTATAGCATGAGATCTATTAATAAGAAGACTAGTGCGAAGAAGGATAACAAGACTAATACTAATCATGATAACAATACTAATCGTATTACTCAACATAATGCTAATACTAATGCTTATAATGATAAGCGTAATCATACTAGTAATTTATGAGAAGGAACTGAATAATAATAATAATAATAACAAGAAGACGAATCATAATATTATCGTACTGCTAATAATAAGAAGGATAATAACCATACTAAGAATAATAACGAGAGGAGGAGGAGAGGGAGGAGGAGGAGGAGGAGGAGGAGGAGGAGGACGAGGACGAGGAGGAGGAGGAGGAGGAGGAGGAGGAGGACGAGGATCTGTATAGATCTCGCTGCCCTATACCCCTCGCCCCCTCGTGACGCCGAGCTGCCCGCCGCCCCGGGCCGACGGGAGGGCTTCCTGCAGCCCTGCCCGCCTGCCGCAGCTGGCAGGGGCCCCCCGCGCTCCTCCCCGGCACGAGGGCGGGGGGCCCCGGCCCGGACGCTCGCCGACGTCGGGGGCAAACTGCGCACCCAGATCTCAGCGAGCGAAGAACGGCATAGAATCAACTTTTCCGCCGTCGGGGACACCTGCCCCTGGGCGGCTGGAAAGTTGATACCCCTGCGGTGCCACCGTAAGGGTATAAACTTTCCAGCCGCGCTGGGGCAGGTGTCCCCGACGGCGAAAAAGTTGATTTTATACCGTTCTTCGCCCGTTAAATATCCGTTGCGTCTTGGAGCTCCGGGCTCCCTTCCCCAGAAACCAGGGGCGCAGTGGACATGGATCGAGCATCTGGCCGCTGGAGGCCAGATTTTTGTCCACGTTCGCTGCGCCTCGGTCTCTTGCCGCCTCGGCCTTCGGAATCCGTTGCGTCTTGGAGTTCCGGGCTCCCTTCCCCAGAAGCCAGGGGCGCAGTGGATATGGATCGAACATCTGGCCGCTGGAGGCCAGGTTTTTGTCCACGTTCGCTGCGCCTAGGTCTCTTGCCGCCTCGGCCTTCGGAATCCGTTGCGTCTTGGAGTTCCGGGCTCCCTTCCCCAGAAGCCAGGGGCGCAGTGGATATGGATAAAACATTTGGCCACCAGAGGCAATGTTTTTATCCGTATTTACTGCACCTCGGTCTTCTGGGCCCTGACGCCCCTTCCCAGACGCTCCACGACGCAGCGGATACGTATCTTGCCCGCAGACGTGATTCTTCAGTCCGGAACCCTAGAGGTCCCGACCCCTCCCCAGGGGCAGCTTTTCGTCCCAGATCCCTTTCGGATGGCCCCCAGGCCCGCTCGCGGGTCCCAGAGGCCGAAATCCAGGAGCAACCGCCAGGATGGAGAACATCCTATCCGCGGATCGAGGCCTCCTGGATGGGGTCCGAGTAGATAGGGTCGGAGGATCGCGCCGCATCGCCGATGCATCGCCGATGCGGCTCGATTTGGAGCCCGATTTGCTTCACGTCGACGTAGCCGATGCGTTGCCCACGTCGACGATGCATCGCTGGTGCATCGCAGGTTCTTCGACGATACATCTCCGATGCATTCCCGATGTATCGGCGATGCGGCGCGATCCCCCGACCCCATCT